GGGGCGCACTTTCCGAGGAAGGGGTGGAAAACGAGCGTTCGCTTGGTCGATCCTTCGTGTGAGGCAATCTTGACTCGCTCTAACGGTGCCTCGTAAGCTGTCGTGCACTCCGGTTAGTTTACAGAGTCCTCTCCTTTGGCCCCGAAATCTCTTTTTTGGGGTGGCGCCGTGATTTATAAAATGAGATGGGGCATTATTATTCTGATAATTATATCCTGCCGCGGTGGGCGCCATGTTTATCTCAGGGACTATTTTCTCTAGATTCTTAGCACCGACCGAAAAGGAGTAACGTTGGGAACCACCTGCTTTCCATCCTTTCTGGGAGACGACCTGGTTCTTTTCCTACCTGTCGTGGGCTATCCTTCGAACTGTTCATGGAACGGAAAGTTTCTCTGCGCACTTCTCCTGGGCATTCTTAGCTCAGAAAAAAGGTAGCGATGAAAACAGGCCTCATAAATCATTTAGTCCAGTCTCATTTTCGAGATTGAAATTGAGATGCAATTGTACAGTCGTAGCTCAGCACAACCTTCTTGTGAGGAACTGTGGCCTGGCACGACACTTTCTGAGACACACTGCACCGCATCGCAAAATCCCGCTGCTAAACTACATTCCCAACTAGATGAAGGTGAGGGAGCGCACTTCTTGCTGAGTAACAATGGATTTGGCGATCCTTTGCTCTTGGTAAACTGACTCTGAATCTGAACTATTTATATTTAGCACAATTGTTTTTAACTTTGGGGTGCATAATAAAAGGACACCCAGGGGTTGCTAAGTGTGCAAATTTATGGGGCCTTATCCCCCCCCAAGCGCTATTGGGATAGATGGAGCCATAGTGTCTTCCTGCCCATGAGTACTAACTGGCAGCCTCTCAAATGATTTGGTTTAAGGTAACCACCACATTGGTCTAGCACAAAGGTCATCACTGGCAATCTATGCCTCCCCCCACCCCCTCTTTTTCCTGTTCTTGCTGTTGGTATATCCCAAATGAAGGAAAACGGGGTGTGTGTGTGTGGGGGGAACACAACAAAAAAGCCCTCTCAACATTAAGACTTGAATGAACAGGATTTGGATGAGACTCAACCTCTACCTTGAACCAGTGATGTAATCTAGGAATGCAGTTCTCAAAAAAAGTATGGTCTGCTGACCTGGGGGATTTCAGACCCTTTCAGGGAAACCAATCAGTCAAACTATTTGCTGATGTTCCCAAAGCCATGCTGGGTAAAGGTACTAATGATGCCTTAGCACAAAGCCAGACCCAAAACTCCAAAATTGCTTTTGCTGCATCGATTCCAACTGGGAGTGACCCTGTAGGACAGAGTAGAACTGCCTCTGTGGGTTTCCAAGACAAGAAAGAAATCCTCGTCTTTCTCCCTTAGCCGCTGACTGCTGGCTTTGAACTCTTGCCGTTGCAGGTCACAGCCCAACACATTAACTCATTCTGCCACCAGACTCCTTTCAAAACAAGGCAGTGGTACTATTCTACTCCACTTAGAATGCTCTAGCTGAAACAGTAAAAATTACTGATTTTATGAAACTTCAGTATAGGTCCCCTCCCACCTCCCCCCCCTAATTTTCATGTATTAGGGTTAACACAGGAAGGAAGCATTACGGTGCTTACCAAGACATGATCATTGTTACAAGGAAAAGTCAGGTTTAGCTGTGACCTGAACTAGCTGTTTGTGTCGTGGAGCAATTTTTTTTTTTAAGACCCACTGACAAACTATAGTTTGTTAGGCTTGAGTATTTGGCAGATATTTTCTGGAAAATGAAGCGTGTCTGTCACTTTAGAAAAACAATTGACAGTATTTGCTACCAATGAGAAAATTCCAGTGAAAACTGCAATTTAAAATGATTGCTTAAATTTTGACAGCTTCTGAATAGTTAAAAAAATTTCCTGATACTGTCAGTGACCAGGGACTCTGTTATTTCTTTTCCAAAGGACCCGTGCATAATGTTATAAATCACACCTGGGTCAAGAAAGACCCTTTCAAAATACAAGACCAACTAATGGCTTTCGATGTACTACCAGGTAAAATTGATTGATAGGCTTTCAGATTCTTCAGTATCTCCTTTAATAAATTATTAAGTTTAGTATTAAAGACTAAGAACCTGAAGGTTACAAGTTGGGCTGTGATCCACAAGGTCAGCAGTTCAAAACCACCAGTTGCTCCTCTGGAGAAAGATGGGGCTTTCTTTTCCATGAAGAGTTGGTCTCAGATGACAAAACTATAATAATTTATGAACTATGAAGGGTTCATGAGGGAGTGGGGAGGGAGGGTGAAAATGAGCAACTGATATTAGGGGATAGAGTGGGAGGCAAATGTTTTGAGAATGATGAGGGCAACAAATGTGCATATGTGCTTGACACAATGTATGTATGTATGTATGTATGGATTGTGATGCGAATTGTACGAGCCCCCAATAAAATAAAATTTAAAAAAAGTTGGTCTCAGAAACTCAGAGGGACAGTTTTAACCTGTCCTATAGGGTCGCTAAGACTGCCTACAGTTACCTTTAAAGGCATATTAAAATACGACTTTTTCCTACTCAACAAATTTGAACCATAGCTGTTGAGTGTGTTGTGAGTCATAGCTACCCTTTAGGAGAGTAGAACTGCCATGCCCCGGCTCTCCAGGGCTGTAACTCTTTACCAGAGCAGAGTGCCACATCTCTCTCCCAAGGAGCTGCAGATGGGGGTGCATGGCCACCTTTTGATTCTCTGTGAAGCACGTAAGTTCTGGGCCCCCAGAGTTCCTTTTCTTAAAAGCAAAAAACCAGCCTGAACAACATTGAGGTCAAACTAAATGCAGAAACAGAAGGAAATCCAGCTGCTTTTTATTAAGATAAGGCACAGAGTCACAAAAACACAAAAGTCTGCCACTTTCTAAATGAAAAAGATTTATTAAAAATGTTTATGTTAACATGCAATGGGCTTATTTTATTTTTATTGATATTTAAGTAAAATTTAACTTAAAACCGCCATAAATTAAAGCTCTTTGGAGTCAGAGATACTTGTAAGCGTGTCAAAGGGTTCTGAGATGAAAACACTTTGAGATTATCTAAGAGGTAACTTTTGAGCCTCTGTGCGTCTGCTTTTTATTTGTTATTAGTATTTTTCCTTTTAAAATCCAACAGTTAATGAATTTATTCTCCTAAGCGAGTTAAGTCAGATTAAAATACATCAGTCAGGATACAAATTTCTGGAACATTTAACAGTGGTTTTACATGTCTATAACGACGACTCAAAACAGTAAGACCATGGAGATAGCAGGAGGAACAGACCAAACTGAACTCACTGCCATTGAATCGATTGCAATTCATTATCACCTTAGAGGATGGAGTAGAACGTGCTCCCCTGGTGTCTGCTTTTTAGATCATCTAAATCTGCCTGCATTTTGGACATTTGGGAGTATTTCCAGGTGTTGCTTGGAATTAATACTGGAAGAGGCAATGGCTTGGGAAAAAGTATAGATTCTAGGGTGCAAAGGCTTGGTTTGAATCCTGCTGGGACTTTGTATCACTCATGGAGGTAGTAGTGCTTCACTGGTAGAATTCTCACCCTCATTGCTGGTCACCTGGATATTAGTCTCTTGCCCAGTCACCACATCTGTCAGTGGAAGAAGTGTGTTGAGATTTTAGCAGAGTTTACACACTAAGCAGAGTAGGAAGAAAGGCCTGGTGATGTCCTTAAAAATCAGCTAGTGAAAACCCTGTGGAGCATGCCAGGTCCAAACCACAACTGATGACAGGGATGGCATAGGTCCTGGCAGCATTTTGTTTGGTTGTCCATGGGGCTGCCCTAAGTTGAGACTTGACAGTAGGTAAATAGCAACCTGGAGTAATTTACTTAATTTGCTAAACCTCAGGTTTCACCTCCTCTCTGAAATGGGAGTATTGTACTTCGGGATCACTGGTTTTGTGAGAATTTATTGGGGTAATATTTAAAGTACATACCAATAACTACTATATCAACAGTAAAATTAAATATATTTTTATACTATGCTTCTGTCTTTATTCTCCATATTTGCCCTTTTAAAATAATGTTTCCTGAAAGTGGAGATTCTTGATATAAAATGAAAACTCCTAAAGCCAACTTGGTGTACCTGTCATGTCATCAGACTCTCTGGTAAGACATGGCAGACTCTGATATGGTGGTTTGTGAGAGCAAGTCATAGCCATGAGAGTGCACTTACTTTTCAGGGACCCACAGGGAGAGGAAAGGAAAGGGACTGTTGTGGTAAACTGAGGGACTGGATGAGAAAGTAATGTAGCTAAACCGTGCATGCTCATAATTATGGGTCTGGAAAGCCGAATCTGGTGGGTCAGACTATCACGGTTATGAGATATAAATAAATCTTAATATACATTCTCATGACTGGACACAGTCCCTCCAATAACCCCCTCCATAAAA